ATGGTAAATACCAAATGTTATACAACATGTAACCCTGAAGGCTTTTTGTTCCCTATAGCACTGTGAGTGGTCAGTATAAAACCAGAAAAGCGCTACATAAGTGCTGACCTACTTTCATTTCCCATTTACCTGCAGCTGAGCAACACAGCAGCAAACATACATTTCTCAGAAACATCTATGTGCTATCAGTGTGTGTGTGTTCCTGATTAAGCAATACTTGTTGTGGGGACACATTATAGATGCCAATATATATACATATAAATATATATATACAGTATATATATATAAATATATATAGTAGAATAATAAACTATAGGCTATGTATGAGTGTCATGCTCACAAGCTACGAAAACCAGCGTGACTGAGTGCATTCTTTGTGTTGGTTTTATCTTCAGTACTTTTGCAGAATCTAAACACCAAAGCCCAAACCTCCAGTTCCAGTGGGATCCACAGCGATTATATTCTGCTCACTCACTGGATTATAAAATTTCACATCCGAGGTCAATGAAATTCATCCTCACGATTGCTTGTTGGTCTGTAAACCAATGTTTAGTGGAACAGGCAGCTGTTTAAGTTTTCCCACACTGACTCAGAAATTTACACCAGCTCATGGTTCCCGTAAAACCCCGCTGTACATGAGAGGGAGCCAACAGCGGGGGAAAAGGGTGAAAAACTAAAAATGTTATTCAACTAAATATTGCGGACAGTTTTACTGGCCGGTGAAGGCTTTTAAAAACAAAATCCTCAAAAAGTAATCCTCATTGTCATTTGTTTACCTCAGTGATGGGATTAATCTAAAATATGTTTTCTACTCTGACACATACTGATATACTTTTAAACGATAGCACATGGATGTAGTAGTTGTAAGAGGAAACACTGATGCTAATCTGCTTTAGCTAACATTTAGGTTTGTCTGTACTAAGAGGCAGTGTTAATTCGTCTTACAATTTATTGACTACTGTTATCTTCTAGGGGTTTTAACTTATTATGGCCCATCTGTTGTTTAATTTTTAATTTTAACATTTCAGGATTTTATTTGAGCTAAATTGGGGCTCTCAGTTAGCCAACATTGCTGTTTCTGCTACATTAAATACATTAGACCCATTTTAGCCTTTTAGCTCGTTGCTTTGTCTTACTCTTTGGTGGTTTTTGGCTTTACTTGTGGTCATAATGGACAGTTTTAATCAAATTTAAAGCATATGGCTGACATAGGTTTGCTTTAAACTGTGTTTGCTAACATTTATTGAATACGGAGTGCACCACAGAGGTGGTTGATGACCACAAAGAATTTATGAGTTTGGTCAAATTGTTAGCATTGGTTAATATTTTTATTCAGTCCTAAAGTTCTCATGTTGGAGTAAGGGATCAACTGTTTAGCTGAGAGCTTTTAATAGTAGCACATTGAACATTCAGTGGTGATCAGAGGAAACAGAGATGATTATCAGCTGAGGAACTGTGCCTGTTGTAACTGTATGCTAAAGATTATCTTTTAATAGATAAAGTTCTTGTTAGCTCTGCCACATTTCCATTTTCCATTTCCATGTTCTTTTCTTTTATTGTTAAATATAAAGTGTGTATTTTAGGCAGTATTTTACTCTTTAAAAAAATTCATTTTCACCTGCTGTGAATTTTTTTTTTTACAAATTAGTCTTTCTTTCTATTCTATTCTATTCTATTCTATTCTATTCTATTCTATTCTATTCTATTCTATTCTATTCTATTTAACCCAGCCATAGTAATTCTTAATTTTTGTAGCAGTGACACGGTTGGCACATTTTGGCATTTACATGACTAAGCTGTACCAGCAATGGTTCATTGGGTCAATGATAGGCTTGGACTGAACACTAATTCAGGAAACAGTGCTGCTGATATACAGTACTGGGGAACCGTAACTGTGTTCAGGAAGTGTCCTAATCATTTTATTATACAAATTGATTCCTGTTAATTTTGCATCATTATCAGGAAAACTGACTCTCCCAGCAGCACTGTGAATAATCAGCCAGCTTAAGAGCATTTCCATTCACAGTTGTCTTACAGTAAAACTTCCTGCTTGAGCAAGATCACTTCTCTGTGATTACCAGTTAACCAGTTACGTTTCCTGGTAACATACTCACATATCCCTTACCCCACATTCTCTCTCTCTCTCTCTCTCTCTTACATACAGACACTCGCAAACAAGCATGCACTCATTCTATTTACTGTATTTCTTTTTTTTTTTTTTTTTGTCTTTGTGAAGCAATGCCAGTAGTTTTCTCAAGAACATTTTGTTCATAAGTCACACTGACTGCGTAACTCCATGGAGCAATACAACAACATTACAAGGAAGAAGAAAAAAAACGTATTAACTCTGTGGTATTTGCCCATTGTTAAGAGCAGACACACGTGTGCACGTGGCCAAGCCTCTGGTGGCGAAATTAGAAACATGATATGTCATCATTGAACGTCTTCTTTTTTTAAATATAACTTAGAACATTCAGCTCCAGTTGTGTCAGTCTCTCACGTGGGAGTGCTGTTAATGTCAGATCTGGTGCATCATGCTGCGCACATGTAGTTCAAGCATTCCTCTTCAGATATCACATGCTGCCTATTTATGGCATGTGAGGATACAGTCAGTGTCACAGCTGTCTTCTGGGAAACACTAAAAACAGAACACAAGACCATTGACTTGTACATTTCACACCCAGAGGTGTATGCAAAAAGACTCTAACCAAATTTCTTTTGTGTTTGCAATGCTGAAATGATAAACTAGATTATTTAAATAAGAACTAGAATTTGTGTTCTGCTAAATAAACATTCATGGCGACATAATGGTGACATCTTTGTTTGTCAAATTTTGCCATAAATCTTTGTCTAATTTGTTGCATAAGTCAGACAACACAATAAAAACTCACAAATTTATTACATTGGCAACACTGACAGACCTGAGGTAGGCTCATCCATTGTTCAAAAAAGTCAAATACGGCCCAAGCTACATTCCTGACCAAGTACTTGGTTCTTATTTTTTTCAAGAATTTTTTTTGTTTGTTTCACAGTGACATTTTTGGTAACATCCCAGGGGCATCTTCAGATACTAGAATTGCCTCATGATGACAGAATAGATTTTCTGGAAATCAGAGGACCATTTAGAGGCTATCCTAATACCCACCCCCAGTCACTTCCCATTCTAATGATGGCGTGAATCAGACAACACCTGACTCACCTCTGTGGACACAGCTGCCTCTTACCAAAACCCATCCGACTCTTTGGCGTCAGTCTGTTGCCTTTAAAAACCTCATCCCACCCATCTATTCATTTCCCAGCCAATGTTTATTTAAATTTAACAGAAATAAAAATCATGTTATATATTTTCTAACACAAAGAACCAGGACATAAAGTAATGGAGTACCTCTCTTTGTCTGATTTTCACATATACACACAGAAACAAGCTGGCCTAATGATTGATCTTTATTAGTCATGAGTTGAGTGTGTACCCTGGAGTTAATCTAAACTATGGTGGTCATAGTTTAGTCAGCACAGACGAGAATTACACCAGGCACACGCATGTTGACAAAGAGTGGAATTTATCACTACAGCAAGACATGAAGCAACACTTCCCTTTAATCAGACTTTTTAAAATGAATTGTGACAAAAAAAAAAAAGAAGAAAAAACAACCATGATAGAGCAAATCAGTCAGAAAGGTAAAGGAAAACACCCTCAATTTTACCTTTGTGTCAAAACCATGTAAAAATTTGTGAAGATTATAATATAATAGTAAAACTTACAAAATAACAGCTGTTATTTGCATAACCATGTTATAATCAAAATGTTAGTTTACATTAATGTCATGGACAGGAAAAAGCAACCCTTATACTGGTATGGTAATATTGGCCAAATACTATAGCTTCAAGCTAAAAAAATAAAACATTAGCCCAGCTTTAGCTAGTACTGTAAACCAAACTGTTTGTAAAATATAGCCATGACCTAGCTGACAGGAAAGGTAAACAATACTCAACAGTAAACAATATCCAAACAAATAGCTTAAAAGTTTAAAAAAGGTTAGTGTTATCTCAAGTAAACCAGTATTGTTGTAGAATAGAATTAGTCCAATTAATCAGACAGAATTATCTAAAAGCCAATAGCTAAACAAAATATAATTTAGTTTTAACCTGAACAGCTACAAAATTATGATAAAATAGTTAGTTTAGCTAGCAGAATTACTGACAATACTTAGCTCAGTGTTTGTTTAATAAAAAAGGAAAGATAAAAAATAGAGGTAAATCTAAAAAATATGAGGTACGTATACTAGTCAATTTTAAATATATGTGCATTGCTACAACACTGTTTTGTTGTCTGACAACTGTGGAACATAACAGCCGTACAGACGCAGTTATTTTCAGTGTTTATATTGATACATTTTTTTCGACCTAACACCCGGTTTTGGAAACTTTTACGCAATCGTCCAAATGCGTTGCGTACAGCAACACTTCAGAGGAAAGCGCATCATAGCAATAATAACAGTGCGTTGCCAGTGGAGACCAGCAGGATGCAGCTGCTGCTAATGGGAAACGTCTTTCAGCAAGTTCCCCAAATGTGGCGCCCTCTATGGGGGAAGTGCTGCCCAATATCTGTGAGCCACAGCATCAATGAGGATTTCTCAGAAACTGATTACACAAAGTGGCTCAGCTCACACTGAGTTATATGACCTCACTCCTGACTCAAACCTGAACACACAGTCACCTACGGCTTTCATTCTACACTTTCCACTCTTAGACTGTGTTGAAATCCAAGGTAAAGCGATTGTTTACATGCTGTTTGAGAGCTGTTTGGAATCCCCGTTCTCCGAGCCTCGTTTTCAGAGGAGCAGCAGAGGGGAGGGCACTTCTCAGAGCAGGAATCCTTTAAAATAAATAAATAAAAGCAGACGCTTCCTGTCAATCTGCGAAGAGAGAGAAAGAGAGGCTTTACTGGAAGGAGGCGGAGTTTGAGCACACACAGAGAGCAGACGGAGGAGGAGGAGGAGGAGGAGGAGCAGCTCTGCCGCGGCTACTTAAAGCCCACAGCTCTCCAACACGGCCGTCAAGCTGTCACACCAAAAGCGAGCAGAAGACTTTTTAACAGTCTGAGAAACTTTCTAACATTGGCCTTAAACCCTCCTGCGTGCAGATCCAGGTCTAACTGTCGACCACCAACCTTCTGTTCTGCCTCAAGACATTTGGATTTACTGGGGAAAAAACAACAAACAAAACAAACAAACAAAGCTTCGGAGGAACATTTTAGGTAAGAAACACATTTGTTTGTTGACTTTATTTTTGCTGCTTTCCAGGCTGGGGAATTAACGGTGAATATAACTGCAGTTCAATGTATTCAATAGTAACATAGGAGTTTGCTAAATATAGACTTTGTTTTAAATTGCGCAATTTTACTGGAACTGGCCGTGGTGCCTGAGTCCCGAGGGCAGATTACACAAAAGGTTTCCTAGAAATTGCCTCAAGGCAAATTAATAGAGGAGTTATGTGGCGTGACAGCACTCCAGTTAAGAAGAAGAGTCAACACAGACAGAAAACAAAGGAAGGAAAAACCAGAAAGGAGCTTAGTATGACATAAAAAAGTATTTTATTAGTACTTTAGATCTTCTAAGTGGAAGTGTTTTGAAATGCATATTCAGTGTCTGTAGCGTTTCAAGAGTCAAACTCACACATCTCTTCCTCTCTCCCCAGGTGTTCCATTTCCACACCGACCGTTAGCGTCAGAGCTTCATGACCACCAGCTCAACTCCGCTCTTGTCAACACACCTCGTCTCCTTCTCTTCCTAGTCTGTCTGTGTGGCACCCGGTGCTCCCACAGGCTAACCCAGAGAGCAGGCACAGAGCCATGGTAACTTACAGCAAGTTTGACTCCACTATGAGCAGCAGCCTTGTGGACTCCAGCCTGCGGCTGCCTCAGCGTTACAAGACTTTTACCATGGTGCAATACCAGATGGTGCTGGCTACGCTCCACAAGCTCAAGGAGTGCGGCTTCTACTGGGGTCCCATCACCGGCAAAGAGGCCAATGCCATGCTGGCAAACGAGTCCAATGGCACCTTTCTGATCCGGGACAGTTCAGACAACAGGCACCTGTTCACGCTCAGCGTCAAAACGGCATCTGGCACCAAGAATTTGCGCATCCAGTGTGACGCTGCCTCCTTTCACCTGCAAACAGACCCTAAAAGCATTCACTCTGTTCCCCACTTTGACTGTGTGCTAAAGCTGGTACAATATTACATGCCTCAGAACAAAGGGAACACCCGCAGTGGGAATATGTACTACATTCACTCTGGAGGGGAGAAGATCCCTCTGGAGCTCATCAAACCTCTGTTCTGCAGCCTGTCCACGCTGCAGCACCTGTGCAGGAAAACTGTCAACGGACATTTGGACATTTCTTCCAGAAGAGACCAACTGCCTCATCCACTGAAGGAGTTCCTGCAGGAATACGACGCTCCCATCTAGAGGAGTTAGCAGGCGCTCTAGAAGGAGCAGCATCATCACAGTCTAACAAAGAAACCTCATGGTTTCAGCACAGCTGCGAAGAGCTAAGTCAAGCGCGAGCTCTCGCACAGGCATCGGTGAAGTTGCCAGTGTAGGTGCCAAGAAATCTGTCCAGGTTTAAGGGCCACAGGACTGTGGAGTACGGATGCACAGAGAGAAACGGCCAGGCCGGAGCGCTGTGGGACTACCTCCACTGTGTGATGACGTACAACTTACTGAAAACTGAAGTGAGGCTCAGTCAGCTGTCTGCAGTCTGATGACACACAGGCTCCGTCTGCTGCTGCTGCTGCTGCTGCCCGGCTGACAAAGTCATACAGCCGTTTATTCTGGACTTACTGTAAACTTTTGATGACTCTGGATGATAATCCCAGAGGAGAGAAATATCCCTAAAGAAGCCTTGGATCTCTGACCAAGTGAACAATCGATTCAACAGTTCTGGGTCCATCCCTGTGCCAGCCGTTATTGTCAAAGGGCTGAACTTTTTATGAGACCATCCTTGAGATATTTCTATATTTCTACTGTTCTGTTTATGGCACCGGTTAATGCCAAATTTGCCTGATGAAGACCAACAGTGACTGAATCCAGCAAGACCTTAACGAAAAAGCTGAACACTGTGGAGTATTTAAACTGACCTCAGGTCAGGTGTTTGTGTAGAATCAGTTAAACCAAAAGATGTGGTAGTAGTCCATTTTTTTTTTTTTGGCACACAGAGACAAATAATTGCCATATGAATGTATCAGAAGGTCTCTTTTTTTTTTTACCTAACGAGGAAAAAAGTGTCTTTTCCTTAAAACAATGTTTACATGAATGACCATGAAATAGTGAATCTGTTCTTTTCCTGTCTTTTGTAAAGATGTTGTACCTTTTTCCAGCCAGACCTCAGGCTGTGGATTCTTGAAGATTCTTGTGGAAGCAGGCAGACCCATACGACACATTTTGCACTTATTTATATTTGTGAGAACATTTCATTAATTTATAATAAAAAGCACTATTTTTCTACAAAAAACCTTTGATCTCTTTGTTTTACTTCACTTTGTGTTTTCTTTTTGTTTGTTATTTCTACCGCTGACAAAAGAAATGATTATGACAGTGTTTAAATGGGATTTTTGGATTTCACTAATATGGAAAACCCAATGTGTTTGGCTGAATTTGCGTTCTGCTAAATGTCAGAGAGAATTTAGAATTTTCCATGAATTCACCTTATTTTCATTTATTTGGTGCCTTTTAGTTACAGCTTCAAACACAGGTGAGCCTGGAGTCTGACCTCTGAATAATCCCAGTCTGTGGTGAATTGTGAAGACAGTGCTTTGTTCCTCTGTGTGTCACTACATCCTGTGTAGCGTCAGCACATGCTGTAACATGCATTCAAACAATGACACAGCTCTGCGTTGTAACAGGATGAGCCTTCATAGGTACACTCATTAACAAAAAAAACTTTCCAGTTCCCTGTCTCATACAGGCCAGGGTCAGGTGAGCGCTGTTGTTCTACGTACACCTGTGTTTCAGGGCAGAGGAATTCAAAGGAACACTGAGTTTTTATCAGTCCATGTACCAAATCATTCTCGGCAACTTTAAGGAAGGCTGCAGTCCCGACTTTGATCAGGAAACGCTTGACATGCCAGCTTTGGACAACACATGATGTCAGTTAAAGAATTCCACTGTAGACCGATGTGATTCGATTGTCTCACCTTTAGAAGGAAACAGATAAAATTGGAATTTGCATTTTGTGCGGATGTTTGCACAATGCATTCTTCACATACTTACAGATTGTTTCTATTGAAATTCCCTTTAGAGAAAAGGAAAAATATCAATAATCTCAATAAATATCTTCCGTAATGAACTGGTAAAATGAGGATAAATAGGTAAAAAAAAAAGAACAAAGATTTTGTTGTATGTATTTACTCTGTTTATTTTTGACTTTTGGTTTATAACATTTTTTTAATACCTTTCATGTCGCACACACGTGCAAAGTTTTAATAAAGTAAAAAAAAACAAAAACAAAAGCTGGGTCCAGAAACTGAAATGTTGTTTGCTCTACAACTTATCATATCTTATATAATAATAAAACAATGTGCCTGTGAAGGTTATAAGTTTAGCCACACCTACTTTAAGCCCTGTGGTGCAGTGCACAAGAAATTCTCTGGTATCGTGTGGTGTGAGTTCCAGAGAACTTTTCCAGAGAACAGGGCTGAAGATAGAATAGAACTAATAGAATTAAAGGTCATTTGGAAGCAACACAATTGCTTCCTTCTGCTTTTCTCCCTCAGCACATCAACTATGTTAGTTTAGTATTAATATAACATATACATATGTTATACATATGCAACATATTACATGTGATTAATTATAATGACTTACCGTCATTCCAAGCATGTGACTTTCTTTTGAAGATCTATTCAGGTATCTGTCTTTCTGTTAGTCTTGATATAATTCTATAAATAATATAATTACTACTTTCTCCTTTGACCCAATATTTGGTTAGACAAAGTTAATTGAGAAGTAAAGAACAACACAAAGGACATCTAAGTTCATTAAATATGTATTTATTAGAAATCAAAAGGAAAACAAGCAGAGAAGTTACCAAACATTAGCTTGATGTTCCTTTTCATACAGATTAGCTTTTAATAGTGGCACACAGTCTTCAAATGTTAGAAACGACAGCAACCATATTTAGAATTTTGTGAAGCGTTAGATAAGTGGTGGCTAGAAATAGCCGTGATAGCTACATTATAGTTTACGTAAGCTTGAACTGGTATTAGCCAAGACATAACTGACGTAGCGGGACTATATTTAGCTAACTCACTCGTCAGTACTGGTAAAAGGGAAACAGAAATAGCATCTTCTAACAGACCAATTATTATAATGAGATACCTGTAAGCTAAAATAATTTTATCCTAGAGTTAGTTCAAAGCATTAGCCAAAATAGCTTAAAAAAATATCTACTACTAGAATTACAAAATTTAGCAGCTAAAAAGTAGACAAACAGTAAGAGTACACCGCTCCCCTTACAGCTGCCCACTGTTCACTTTGGTGATGGGTTAAAAGCAGAGGTCACATTTGGTTGTGTGCAGTGGTGAGCTGTGTCACAATGACAAGGAGTTCACTTTACTTAGTAGCTAAATAGTCATGGCAAACAGGATTATCAAATGAGGCTTATTAACATAATAGCATAGTAAATATTTGATGTACTTTTGAATATTACACTTCAGGTGCAGCAGAACTTGTGCTGGATCAAGTGACTGACTGTTCACTCATTTACAGGGCTGGACATGTCCCTGACTATTTGGAACAGTATCTTCAGATCTGTGTCATTTTTCTCTTTTAATCTCAGCAGTACTGCGTGCACTGCACACAGAGCTGCATTGTCATTGGCTCTCCCTGAACACGTGCGGCAACCTTGATTCCTACTCACATTTCCAGTATCTCACTCTGTTTACAATTCCACAACTACTAGTTGCCATGGAGTTTATTGTGAGTAATGATCTCCAGATGCCAGGTTTCCCAGCCAACCAGTGAGAAGCTTTGAGTCACCACAGCCCGCAAGTCCCGCCCCTATAAGTCTCTTCTCCGGGCATGCTCCTCCTGTTCTTCCTGCAGGCTGCCACATTTACTGTAAGCACTCCACTCCCCTGTGCTCTACCTCAGACTGTGACAGTATTAATCTGCACTTCCATCTCTGCCGGATTCTCTCGGCCTGCCTCCTCTGCCAGCTCAGCACCGGCTGCAGACCTTTATATCTCTGCTCGCCTTTACCTCAGGGTGACGCAAGGCAGCAGACAGAAAGCAGGAGCATGACGGAGGAGGACAAAATTAGACTTTACATAGAGGCTTCAGTGCTCCCGGAGTCTGACCTAAGAAGTTTGGCTCTCATAGTCTCACTGCACGCTTCACAAGTACTGTACAGTTCTGAGTTAGAAAAGGTGTGGGTGAATAGAATAAAAAATATAGTAATAAGTACAAGTCTAGGTATGAATATTAGTGTTAAAAATATGCTTTACACTAAGTATAAAAATGATAATTAGCATATCAATCAGCATAACAATAAGAACAAGAGTAGGTGTGAGATTAGGAAAATGCATGAGAATAACTTTAAGAGTATAAGGAGGAGAAAATAAATAGGAAAAAACACAGAAGAAGCAAAAGAATGAGATTAAGGAGGAGAATAAGTTTGAACATAGACATAGTATGAAGTAGGACCCGGTATGATAATAAATATAAGTAAAATAAGAAGAATGACATGAATTAGAATAAGAAAAAGCATCAAATATTCTACAATAGGTTTAAGAAAAAGTAAAGAATTATTAACAATGTTAGCATAGGAATTAATATGTGAAAAAGAATTAGATTTGAGAGTGGAATAAGTCTGAACATAGAATTGGCATAAGAGTCTTATAAAAGTATAAAATATTTTATATTATTTATATTTATAGTAAAAGTAAGAATAAAAATAAACTTCTAGAATAAGTTTAAGAAGAAGGAAAAATATTAGCAATGTTAGCGTAAGAATAAGAAAAGTCATTGAGATTGAGAATATGAATGATAATTATTATATCTGTATACATCTGTCTACAGGCATTACTAAGAACTGTGACATACTGTAATATATGGCACTCCATGTTGTTGTATAAAATATAAATATTACAGTAGTTAGTACTGGACTGTGTACTCAGTGTGCATGCATATCCATTCATAGCATCATGTGGGAACGTTTTCCTCCTACTCAGGTTCCTCCGTCACTGTGAAACCAGTGTGCAGTTTTAGTGGAAAGCAGCCAAACGAGAGCCGACAGGCTGCAGTGAAATATTTACTTCACCCTGGTAACGTGAGTGGTGGCCTTTTTTAAGTCTTACACATTGACCATGTCACACCGAGGCTCCCTACAAAATGAGAGGTGGTGTTGTTTGTTAGCTGACAGGAGATAAGCTGACATTTATTTTCAGGTCAGTCATTAACTTGGCAGGGCAGAAATTCACCGGAAAAACCAGTAACAAATGTCTTTCAGATTCTTCTCAGATTTTCAGTTTTGCTTCTTGTTTCTGAAACATGTTTCTGCTTCAGATCATTCACTGTTAGTTTTGCTTCCTTTTTGGCTTTTTCCTGGAACTCGTTTGCAGATTCAAATGTCACAGAGCCCGAAGTGCATGTAAACAATGTCAGCTGAGGAGAAATCCCTGACAGTCCTCCTGCGCTGCCAGGAAACACCCTGTGAGTCACGGCCTCAGACAAGAGGACGGCCCAGAGTCAGAGTGACATATTCCTGCTCACAGGGTTATTGTGTTCACGACATGTTAATACACTGTGCAAACACACAGACCTTTTTACAGCATGTGAAAACAGCGGCCGCACTTAAACCTGCATAACAACTGTAATCTGCAGTCAAATAACACTGAGCACATAGTGACGAGTGGAAAATCGTCATGGAGTTTAACACGCTGGTTCTTGCGATGATACCCCTGACTCACAACCTGCTCCAGTTCTTTGAGTGGGACACCCCCAAAGACCAACAGCCACTAATGAAAAGTGAATGGGTTTTAGCAAACCACTGTGAGACCCTCACTCTCTACCTGGGCCTCTTTATTCTTCATTTTTACCATGCAATCTCATTAGGGTTGTTTAGCTTTTTGGCAAAATTTTATTTTTTTTTTTATTAGATTTTAAGCTAACATTTAGCTGTGTTTTGGTTACTTTCAAATTGGTTGGGATGGTCTTTTGCTAACTTGTAGCAATTCCAGGAATAGCATTTAACCAGTTCTTACTTCTGCTACATTTGGCAACCATTAAGGCAATTTTAAAAAAAATAATTATAGATACTGTGTATTTTCTGTTTTTATTAAACATACAGAACATTTTAGATTGTCTCCATGATCCATGTATATGTTGATGAGATTGGTTTTAGTTGGATTTTGTTTTGCCATTTTTGTTTTTTTATTAGAGACACATATGTACTGAGTTGAGGGTCAGGGTCAGGCTCAGGGTCAGGGTCAGGGTCAGGGTCAGGGTCAGGGTCAGGGTCACTTTATCAACTTTATCATCTGTTAGTAGATACATGGCCAAAACACTGAAGTAAAACATTTGAATGGTCTAAAAATGACTCTCATCTTTTTTTACTTTTTTCAATTTAATCCTAAGAAACTTTTTGAGATTTTGATTTTTCAATATATTACACAAGCATTTTTGTGATGTGTGTTTGTGCGTCGCAGGGTGGGTCATTGAAACAGGGAGTGCCCCCGTTACGTAACGAGACACACTCCTTTTGGTGATGTAATTGAAGAAAATACCTCATAATTACGTTCGCCCGTCCTCACGCTCACATCACCATGGAAACAAAATAAAGTTCTTGTTTCAAGTACTGTTACGCAGGAACATTTCCTGCTGTGTTGTAAGTAGCTCTAAGCTCTAAATAGCAACTTCCAGGCACACGTGTATAAACCAGACGTGTGACCGATAGTTCCTCGGTAGATTCCTCAGAAACTCAGTCTTTATAGACTCATTTATAACCTGCGATAAAGATGAAAAGTAAATATGATTACACTGGTGCGCACACAGGCTGGAGTGAGTACTCTGATGAGCTCGACTGCATATGCAAATAATTCATAATTCTTTAGTCCAGTACATCACCTCAGTTTCCCTCTCTTTTCTTTTACTGTGTTACATTGTGTACAATTCAAAGTACATATAAGGACGAGGGTCCTCCTGTGATGTCACTGGAGTCAGTTTAACTTGTATAGCCCACATCCACAGAAAACATTCATCTCAATAGACTTTACAGTTTGAAATAAGAGTTTAAATTAATGGTACAGATGATTTAAATAATGTATATAATTTCAGATAAATTAATGTCATTGATGTGTTCTGTTTAATAATATCTGCATATAATATTCTGACCTTTTGTGTTGGACTGATTATTGAGCATCTCCAAGTGTTCCGGTGCTGACATTGTGGCCAAATCTAAGGTAGAGGCATGCCCTTTGGGTAATTATTATAACTGTAATGCAGCACTGTAAGAACGTCTGTGCAACTCAACCACCAGGTGATGCTAAATCCTACGCAGTGTACCTTTAACTCTTTAATTTGACACAATTGCCTCGGTTATACTTTAAAATATAGGAAACATACAAAAAAAAAAAAAAAAAAACAACCTAGATTCCACACCAAGGACGTTCATGGAAACCACCGTGGGCGTCTTTCACAGTTATGAAGAAACAGAAGTTTGTCTGTTTTTTTTCTTACCAAACGTACAGGAGAAGTAATTTGTTGGAAGCCTTACTAATCATAATCTCAGCCACACCCAGTTACAGACGAAGAGTAAAAGTACTGCACCCAGTTTACTGTGAACTTCCAGTGTATAATCAGGTTTTTCTGAGTCTTTGAAATAATAAAAGACCTCCAACAAAAAATGGCCGCAGCAAGAAAAATGTGATTTTGGCAAAAGAGTCATGTTTATTAAAAATAAGTTTCTATTATGGTGGGTTATTAAATATAAATAATATCTGATCATCTGGTATTTTCCTGATTTATGAACAAAATAAATATTTTTAACATATTATTAATGACAAAGAAAAGAAAGGCAAAGAAAAGGAAGAGACGTTTATGACACACTGGTCATTGACAGCACCAGTGGCCAAAGGAACTGATGTCTCTGAATGTCATTCACAGATGGTAGCTGGTCTTTTTACTGCAGAATTCCAGACGCATTTTTTTTCCATCTCGTACTCTTCAGCTACAGCCGTTATAGACTAAAATGTTTTCTTCTATGTATGAAGCTGTATCACAGCCGTCAAGAGGCAATAAACAAAAGATATACTTCCTCAGAGACAGGAGTAAAACAAGAGCCTTTCCTCAGTGAAAAATGTACTTTTCTTTTTCTTCTATTCATTCATGGTGGCACAGTGTACCGAATGTTGCTGCTGCAGTTTTATGAATACGTTTGGCTCCCAGCTGCAGAAAACACTTTCATGTGCACAGCGTGGAATTTGAACCATTGCTGGAATTCAGTCAAATGAGAAGAAACGGGAAAAACAAAGAGAGACTTTTTTGTTCGGACCACAAGTGAGCAGGTTAACTGGAAACTCCCTGATAATGTGACATTCAGCTCAGCCATTCAATACATCAAGCTGCTGACTTAGTATAATGTGACAGTGCTCTCTCTCCCTCTCTCTCTCTCCCTCTTTTTCTGTGTGTGTTAAAAACCTGATGTTACATAGTATTTACACATTGTGTGTGTGTGTGTGTGTGTGTGTGTGTGTGTTTGCTCATTAAGCAACAACGTTGTGATAAGAACAGACTAAAGTGAACACTGGAGCTTGACTTAGGTGGCATTTCCTGCAAGAGAGGTCGTCAGGGTGACCTGGAATGACACCAAATGCCCTTGACACATGGAGTGCTGGGATGTGTGTCAGTAAATAGGAAAGCTGAGAAGGAGAGAGAGAGAGAGAGAGAGAGAGAGATTTGATGGGGCCTTCAGCCTGTAGGTGGCGTTTTGACAAATATAAATACATTCATTAACAATAATTAAAAAAATAATATCCAGATCATTATATTCTGCTCGTGTGTAATATCTTAACACTACATGCAGCTATAACACAAATCACAGCATTTCTTGTTTCCTCTTTTAAAACGTACTGAAATATATTTATGTATGTGTAAAAAGGCATGTCTTTTATTTTCTGAATAAAACAGTCGTAAGCAGTACAGTCGTCCCTCAGTGCATTGTGGGTTTTTAATATTTTAAATATTCTTGTATTGCAGATTTTTCGCTTTAACATGGGTTTTTGCGGTATAATAAAATATTTAAATTTCCAATATTTTTATTATTTTTGTGATAAACATTTTCTAGCCTAAAAAGAAAAAAACAGTAAAAGAAATAATTTAAAAAAATTACAAATACATACAGGATATTCACGCCCTACTGTGCTTCCTAGGGTTCATTAAGGGTTAATATATACATAAATAATATAATGCAATATTCGCAATAAACGAGGGACCACTGTAGTTCATTCTGTTTTATCTCACTTCAGTAAATGAAATGACAAATTTGACATTCAGAGCTGTCACAACTATACAGTATATACATATACAGTATATAAATATATTTACCCACAAGGCACTGTGATATGAGCATGAAAATCTGCTGTTGGCCTGACATGTGTGCATTTCTTGAGGAATTTTAGGAAACAGCTGCTGCCACTTCTGTGGAAACACAGGACATAGAACAATCTGATCCTGTGTCCCTGTATGCCCTGCTCACAGCTGCACAGGTCCAGTCTCACACACACACACACACACACACACCATACTGTAACAAGCTCAACCTCAAATGTTACAGCTATGATAACCAAATCCATGACAAGAGGTTTTCTCACGACGGGAAAACCCTACCAGATCATGCACTGGGTATAAATCCCGGTGGTTTCCGCAGATATGAAACGTTTGTTTCTCAAAAATCAGAGCTTTTTCCTTGTGTGAGTGTGTGAGTGAGTTCAAGAAAATATTACATTTACCAGCATTTGTGGATGTCAGGGTAGAAGATATAAAAAATGTGTTTCTGTTGGACAGTGGCTTTAAAGAAGTTCTATGCATCTAGAATGTTCTTGGTTTAAATCTAAAAAAAAAAAGGTTTCCATGAGGCTGCGAGAAACAAGTCCCTCTCTATGTTTTGGGGGTTTTTTGTCAAAATTGATGGAACTCTATGTTGAACAGACAGTAACACTAAACTTCTTCAAGGACAAATCTCTGGCAACTGGTGCAATACTGCCAGCTTTTATTTGACCCAGACATGTTGAACAGACGGTAACACTAAACTTCTTCAAGGACAAA